GTACAGACTAAAAATGAGCAGCTTGACTAGTGATGAAATTAAAAATAAGTAATGGTGGAGTGGTTCAAGTGGTAGAGCACCTGCAGTACTGCCAAAAAAAAAATTAAAAATAACAACTATTACCAACTACAAATTAAAAAGGCATTATAAACTGAGAAACTAAGAATATTCCGTGATTTTCATCTTCTTCAGGATGGGTGGGAATGGTCCTCTTTCTGGGTCAACTTCGCAGAAACATCCCTCTGGAAATCTCTCTCACAGGAATAATCAAACACATGGAAAATGCTGACCACAATATGACTTCAATGGCAAAACCAGAACCACTTAAATATGGACAAGAGAGGAACAGTAAAGGTACAACCACACTGTGGAACACTGCACAGCCATTAAAAAAGAATCAAGCAGATCTACGTGAAACGACATGTACAAAATGTTCACATAATGGTACCAAAAGGGGGAAAGTACTCACTATTGTCATTTAAAAGTTAAGTTTCTAAGAGAAAACATGGTGTGGTACTAATGCTCTAGATCTAAAATCATTATCTGTAGCAGGTATTTTTCAAAATTGAATTTGTTCCTTAAAAAAAAAATGATGAAAGGGGCCAGGTGCAGTGACTCAGACTTCTAATACTACACAGTCTGGAGGTGGAGATCAGGATAGACCCCATTAGCCAGACCCCATTTCAGTCAATAAGCTGGGTGTGGTGGTACGGTATGAGGGAGGCAAAAATAGGAGGATCACAGTTCAAGGCATCCAGAGATCCTATCTGAAAATTTACTAAAGCAAAATGGGCTGGGGTTTGGCTCAAGAGGTAGTGCGCATGCTAATTAAGCGCTAGGCTCTGAGTTCAAATTCTAGTACCACAAGAAAAGGAGGAAGAGAAGGAAGAATTCTCTGTGATTCATTTAACTCTACCCATGGGCAAGTTTTGCAGCTCATTTCTCTTCATCAGAATGTTCTAAGGTGACATCTTCTCTGGGTATGGAAAACAGAACCTGCCTTGAAAATATTTCAGATGGAAATCTCTACCTCGCTCTCTGGCGCAGAGTTATGAAGATGCAATCAGTGTGCTGCTGGAAAGGCCCTGGGCCTACACCTTCAGGAAAAATCTGACTTCACCTACAGCTGACCCTCTAACTTGCTTCCATGTGGAGGGGGACATGTTTCAATTCCGTTGAGAAGTCAGATTGAGTTCTATAATTTTCACAATGAAATTTCAGCTTACAAGCCCTGATATAGGGCACTCAAAATCAGTAAACCAGAAAATTAGAATTTTAAGGCCTCACCAGGAAATATAAACTTGAACATTTGCATTCAGTTCTTCATCTGATGAATATTCACTGTGTGCCTACAATGCACAGGATTCAAAAGTAGGTATAGTCCTCACTCTGTGTAGTTTATTCTCACAGGAGAGACAACATTAAATAATTAATTTATGAGTTATATCTGGGCTGCTGACTACAAAGAAGACACATAGAATGCTAAGAGAACACTTAACAGAGGCAGATCTGTGGGTGTCAGAACTGGGTTTTTAAGAAGCCACACCTGAGCTGAGCCATCTCACCCCACATCCATCTGCTCAAGTTCTATCAGCTCCACCTTGTCAATGCCTCCGGACTGAAGGACTCTCAGCACATTCCCCACTGCCATCTTGCTCCAAGCACCAGCATCTCTCACTTGGGATATTCTCAGCACTACCAGGAGAAATTTCCTGGCTCCCCCAGGTCCCCACAGTCTGTTCTCAATAGAGAAACCACACTGGTCCTGGGAAGCCCACTCACTCTCCGATTCAAAATCCTCCAAAGGAGGTTGCAGTCCCCCTGTGAGGCCTGCAACCTCTGCATTCACCACTTGTCCCCTAAACCTTTCTTCTCTCACTCACTCACTCAGGCTCCTGGAACAGGTCCAGCCAGCTCCAGCCTCAGGGCCTTTATACTCTCTGTTCTCTGCCTGGGACAGTGTTACCAGATATGCACAGGGCTTACCCCCTCACTTCCTACAAGTGTTTCCTCTGCATTTACCTTATCAGTAAGGCCTTCCCTCAATGCCCCCTTCTAAAATACCTACTGCATCCTGCCATCAGCCACATCAGGTGTTTGGCTTGTTTTCTGGCTCTTTCTGCCACTGCCATCAATGGTCCACAAGGGATCCACTTAGTTTGTTCACTTCTGCATCAGCAGTATCTAGAACAGTGCTTCCATAAATGGAGCAGGCACTCAATAAAGAATGCTGGATAATGAACCATTATTCTATGAACCGACATGCAGTCAAGGAAGGTGGGGAAAAGCATTTGAGGCAGAAGGAACAGTATGCTCGATGGCTAAGGAAGGGTGGCACAGGGCAGGGTAGAGAGGTATGAAGTGATGCTGTGGTTGCAAGACAGAGCAGACAGGGCGGGGACCAGGTGAGGTCTGCTTTTGAACAGCAATAGGAAGTCATTAAGCTAGAGCGTGACATGATCAGGTGGGCCTTTTACAAACCTGCGGCTTGGCTGTGACATACAGACTGGGAAAGATAAGGACTGAGGGAACCCAGGAGGCCAACTAGAGCCTTAGTTCATAAGTGAACCATAAGTCTCACAAGAAATCCTATGTAATATCATGATTTTTAATAAGATTTACAAATGTAATATGTTACAATGAAGATGCTCACAGTATCATAGAAACTGAAAGACACTGAATTCTGCAATATATCTTAAAAATTAACTTGCGGAGCTGGGCGCCGGTGGCTCACACCTGTAATCCTAGCTACTCAGGAGGAAGAAAGACATCAGGAGCATAGTGGTTCGAACCAGCCTGAGCAAATAGTTCTCGAGACCCTATCTCAAAAAAATCCCATCACGTGCTCACTTCGGCAGCACATCTACTAAAACTGGAACGATACAGGGAAGATTAGCATGGCCCCTGCGCAAGGATGACACGCAAATTCGTGAAGCATTCCATAAAAAAAAAAAAATCCCATCACAAAAAAGGACTGGTGGAGTGGCTCAAGGCAAAGGCCCTGAGTTCAAGCCCCAGTATTGAAAAAAAGAAAATTAATGTATGGATTCTCACAGTCTCTTGGCCTAAGTTTTTCCAGACAAGGGAAAACCCAGGGCAAAAAAGCTTTGATGAAATGCACCAGATGGTGAACAAAGGTGGTCTTTACAACCCAGGACTTATCCCAGAAGATTCTTATTCATGGGCCTATGCATCTATATTTAAAAATTAAATTAAATTAAAAAGCCCCACGGCCTATGCAGACATGCAGTTCAGGTTGGGAACTGCTACTTTACCTTCTATGCATTCCCAAATAAACCTTCCTCTATGCTGTCTAGAGGTTTGTAGATGCAGAAAGCATTGGCAACTGAGGCAGACAAGAGTTGAAATACTCAAGTCACAAAAAGGCATGTTCTAGTTATACTCTTTCTCTGTTCTTTGTGTTGGAACTATTTTATAACTCATTTACTTCTTTTCAGAAAACAAGTATGCAAAAAATATTACCAAAAATATCAAATTATCCTGACCCTAATGACTACTTTTTTTTTGTTTTTGTTTTGGCAGCACTGGGGTTTGAACTCAGGGCCTATGCTTGCTGGGTAAGCGCTGTACTACGTGAGCCACATCGCCAGCCCTTTCTCTCTGAAACTTGTGATAGCACTACAGATTCTTTTAGCAGATGACAGGAGATATGAGATAACATTTCTGGTTCAACAAACAGTTACAGATCAATGATCAATAGTAACCGGAAGCTGGAGAAATATAAACCCTGTAAGTCCACAAATTTCACCAGGCACCGCCTCCAAGTCTTTACTACTTATGAATGTCTTTATTTATTTAGCCAACCACCACTAACACTTACTACATGGAAGTGCTCTCCTAATACTAAACACTATTGAATCTTCAAAAACACCTAGAAAAGTGAGCATTAATTTCACCCCCGTTTTACAGATAAAATACTGAGGCACCCAAGTTTACACAGCTTGGAATTAGGAAAGTCTGGCTCCTGAGTTGATGCTCTGAAACACAATGTCTCCAAGAACCTATAAAATATGCAAGATTTCATCCAAAACTTTGGTATTCTCCACACTGCAATCACGCCATGCCCCGCCCCTACTTCTATCTCCACAGCATTCTTTTAGTTGCTCCAATAGTTCAGAGTCCTCCCTTGTTCTGCCTGAACACTCTCCTACATACCTATCTTTTAAGTCTTTTCTTCTCAGCTTAAACATCACTATTTAAATTACAAACTTTATTGGCACAATGAACCTCCCAGAGCTCAACACAAAATTATAATTATGTATCTCGTAACTATTTGTTTCCTGTCCGTCTTCTCCAGTCAGGCTGTAAGTTCTAGGATGTCCCACACCAAGCCTTTCTTGTTAATCATACATTCTCAATCGCTGAAACCCCACCAACCCCACCACCAAAGCAAGGGCCTGGCACAATGTAATCTCCCAATAAATTTGCTGAAATAAGGAACTACGCAAGCCTCATGTTTTCTCTCTCCAAAGCATACCTGCGTTGGCAATGCCCACCACCACCCGCTACCACACCACTAATACTGAATGTGGTACTGGTTCTGTAAACAAACGCGGTGAGGCGCAGGACAGATGGTCTCTTCCTCATGGGCTTGAGTTTTAGGTGCACAATAAGGAAGGTGACAATCCCCAATAAAACATAACTTACAAAGGAGGGAAAATCTGCACTTCTCTTCATTACCATCAAGGCTGCGATTACTATCTGCAACATGTCTGTCTTTCTAGCGAGACTTTACCTCCAAGAAGGCCAAGACCACCTCTGCCTCGTTCAGAGCCACAATCCCACTCACTGTGGCTCACAGGAGGAGCTCAATAAACGGAGCCCTGCCCAGTGCACTTCCCAAGTGTAAAGCCAGGATCGCTCGAGCTGGGTGTGGCATCTCTTTCAGGCGTCCGAGCGTATTCCTTGGACACAGGTCCACCTCCCCGCCAGGCCCGGGACTCCCAGAGCCGGCCCCTAACCCTGCTCCCCGCACGCACCTCTTGCACAGAGAAGCATCCTCGCAGGTGCCGCGCACGCCCTCGTCGTCCACGTCGCAGCTCGACGTGGAGGAAGAGGCGAAAGGGGGCTCCCTCCGGCTAGTGGCCATGGGCGTGAAGGTTCTGGGGTGCTGTGACCACCAGGGACATGGAAGCGGGGTCAACAAGCGCCAGGGAAAGGAGCAAGCCACACGGACAAGACAGGACCGAGGGGCTGGGTACCACCGGGTCCTCTGGCGCTTCTCAATGACGCCGCCCCAGCGCAGCCCCAGCAACCTTCCCCAGCTGATTGGCGTCTCTATCCTGACACTCATTGGGCATTTCCCCGCCCCGTCAGATCGCAGAGCTGCTCATTGGAAGACTCGTTTTGACTCCTCCCATATAACCCGGAAGTTTGAGAAGAGAGCCAGGAAACTGAAAAAATGACCTAAGGGCGCCGCAACACTTTCTGGGAAGTGTAGTCTTAGGTGCTTTAGGAGGCTACAGGCTTTCTTCTCGCTAGTAACAAAATTCTATAAATTAATTCAGGACAGAAGAACTAACAGGATCTTTAACAGTGTCGTAAACAGCAGAGAATTCAGCCAGAAGAAACAAGAGTAGTTGTTATTTTAAGTCCGTGTTCAGTGTCATTCAACAATTTAACAAATATTAAGGGGTGCTGACACTGTGCCCTGTCCTGTGTTAAGGGTTTTGCACACATAATCGCCTTTGAAATGATGTGAAGGAAGGTAGTGTGTGGAAACCTGATATAATTAAAAACTACGGAACGATGAAAATGAACTGAGGTACCAAATAAACAAGTATCAATGACTGAATTTCAGAAACAATGAATGTTCAGTGAAAGAAAGATATTTTTACGGTGGCTTACACCTGTAATCCTATCTACTCAGGAGGCAGAGATCAGGAGGATTGCGGTTCGAAGCCAGCCTGGGCAAATAGGTCTCAAGACCCTATCTCAAAAAACCTTTCACGTATTTTTGTGGACTGGTGGAGTGAGTCAAGGTGAAGGCCTTGTGTTCAAGCCCCAGTACCGCAAGAAAAAGAAAAAAGAAAGATATTTACAGAGTTCAAATCAAGTAAAACTAATGTTTAGGGACACATATGTATGTGGTAAAATATTGTTATAGGGTGCAAAGAGAGGAATGCAAAGTATTAATAGGTACAGTGTCCCAGGCTGGTAGTGTACTCGTTCCATGGATTACAAGTGTCAACAGCACGTAGTGCAAAGTGTAAATCCCATAGTGTCTAGATTTGGTTAATATGCTCTGCCTGTTCCAATGACCACTCAGCCACAATTTGCCTTCACCTCCATAGGGACACAGTAGAGTTTGACCTTGTGACCCCAAGGGGAACTAAACAGCTCTGCCATTACACACAGTCTTTGCAGGCAGGATCCTAACTGCTTCCCTCTTTCTGTGGGAGTGGAGGTATGGGATTACTTTTATGACATCTGCCTTCGAAAATGTTTTTTGGGGTGGACACTCTTATTAAAGACATACAAGTCCATGATCTTTTAGTCCTTTTTTGGGTTCTGGAGGTAATATATTCCTTGCTTATAAATTTTACTTAAACACATTTATGCTATTCCTTGCAAATTAGCCTACCTTGGGAAGGGTCCCCTCCAACAAAAGGCTATAGAATTTGTCCAGATTAAGATCAACAGGCATTCCTGTTACTGCTATCAGAGAATCCTGAAGTGATCTCCACTCATGCTTCCTGGAGTTTCTAGATGACCATGATGATTAAGATGTCTTAGAGCTTCTTTTTTTTTTTTTCATTTTTCTTTTATTATTCATATGTGCATACAAGGCTTGGTTCATTTCTCCCCCCTGCCCTCACCCCCTCCCTTACCACCCACTCTGCCCCCTTCCTCTCCCCCCCCCCAATACCCAGCAGAAACGATTTTGCCCTTATTTCTAATTTTGTTGTAGAGAGAGTATTCTTAGAGCTTCTGATGCAAGAAACAACCTTCCTTGGACCTGCACTGTAGCCATTAGAGTAGCAATTGCTTTCCATACTCTGGACTCTTCTGGAAATAAAGGATCTCACAGTCCCTGAGCTTATGATCATCCATACCCAGATGCCCGCTAGCTCTTGGTTCATGGAGGCAGCACTGCACAAGATCAGCATGGCTGCCAAGACCTTGCTACAGTTTGGAACCAAACCTGGACTCTCTGGCATATCCTGCCTGCAGATGAGGGTGACCTTCAGTGTCTTCAGTCTCTAGTCAAATGGCCTGGTACTGGAGAAGTCATCCCTCCCTCAGACCACTGGGAAATCTGGAGATCAACTCAGTAAACATCACCCCGTGAGAGTTTCTACACTTTATGGAGGCCAATTCGACCATCTTACTTGAAAGAGCTCAGTGCAATGTTGCTGTTTTTCCTCTTTATCCAGCATATCCCCAATAAAAAGGGGCCCAAAGGTCAGCACAATTGACTAATCTTCAGGCAGTCATCTTAGCACTGAATGCCTGTCTTAGTCCTATCACCTTAAACTTGGTGGTTTATAAGCAACAAATTTATTTCTCACTGTTCAGGAGGCTAGGAAGTCACAGCACATTCAATGTCTGGTGAAGGACTACTTTCTGGCTCAATGGACTACTTTCTGCTTTCTCACTGGGTCCTGGTGATGGAAGGAGAAGGGGGTCTCCTCAGGTTCTTCTTTTTCAAGGCCATAGTTTTGTTGCTGTCCATATAACCTAATCATCTCCCCAAATCTCTTTACCTTGGGACTTAGGATCTCAACATTTCAGTTTAGGGGAGGGGAGGGTACACAAACATTCAGACCATAAAAATACCCCAGCCAACCAGCATCTGCATATTTTTCACAAACTGTTGGGTCATTGTCTAGAGTTATCTCCTTTGGGGTAAAAATCATGGATAATGTCTTGCAAAAATATAAACCAGGAAAACAGCTGTCACTACATACCATACAGCCATAACACAAGACCTTCCCACGACACTCCTTATCTACCAAAGCACTCATTTTGCTTCTCAGAATACAAATACCAGGCTCTTAGGGGAAGCATTCCATGGAACTTCCCCCTCTCGTCTGTGCCATAAGCGGCTGGTTTAATTGAGAGATATATGGGTTCCCCAAAGCATTCCTTTAAGTCACAAAATGACAAGTGAAGATGACCCTTACTTCCATAACTTTTCCTTTCACCATTCTTAAAAACCTTGATTAGCCATAGTCCCTGAGGGGACACAATCCCTACAATGCCACACAGGTCCCTAAAGTCCCTTCATTACCTGTTTAGGCCATAAAGGGGGAAATCTTGAAAGTTCATCTTTGTTTGGCAGTACTGGGTTTAAACATAAGGCCTCTTGTTTGCTAGGCAGGTACTCTACCACTTGAGCCACTCTGCCAGCCCAGTGTTCATGTTTTTATGCCCACGTCCTCCTCCCTCCCCTGGCTAAGGATCTAGTGGGTTTCTTACTCCCTGCAAAGCTCAATCATAATCAAAGTTTCAGATGATGTCAAGTCATCAAAGAGTCTATTGTGGACTAATTGTGGTATTAGGCCTGATATGAACACTAAGTGTCATTCTGACATCTGGTGAAATCAAGAGGGCCTCAAATGTGAACTACAAATTCCTTTTCTCTCTGCTCCCATAAATGAGATCCTCTAGCCAAACAGTCCTCCTTACCACAAGGACCAGGCACAGTTTATCCCTACATAGTAGGCTTTAGTTCCCTTCCAGCCCACAAAACTATTCAAATAAGCCAACCCCACCCACCTGTGGGAACCAGGTTACACCCTCTTGTTACTACAAATTCTCTCTCTCACAGCCTCTGCTTTTTCATTCAGTTCCCAGGTAGAATCTCTGCGTGTTGTGCAGTGTGCTCCTCCCCTAGACTATGAGTATATGTGACTAATACACTGCTGTCAATTCCATCTGCCCTGTGTTCAGTCATCCCCAGAACTATAGTTTAGGATCGTAGATTGGATCCTTCCTGTATCAATGGGATGAAGAAGTAAATAAAACACTTCTGATCTGAACTTTTTTGAGGCCTTATCTTGATATGATGAGGCTCATAGTCTTAAGCTATCTGGGTAAAATCTGTTTGAGGCTTGCAAAAAGTAGCATGTGGCTGGAGGAGGGCCTGTATGTGGATGACTTGGGAAAAGCAAGGCTATAAAGCAAGGTTAGGTTGAATCCCCAGCACTGCCAATGGGGGGGGCGGAGTTTGGCATCTAGGCAGTGGGAATTCTGAAATGATTTAAAACAGAGAAGTAACACTGTTAGGTTTTCATCTTAGAAAGTTCATTCCTATGGCAGGGTGAACAGTGGATTTAAGGGAGACCAAGAAAAGAACCAGCCAGATCAGTAAGGAATCTAATGCATAGTCTGACACAAGAGATATGGTGGGGGCGGGCCACTGGGGCTCAAGCTACTTGGGAGACAGAGATCAGGAGGAATGCGATTTGAAGCCAGCTTGGGCAAATAGTTCATGAGACCCTATCTTGAAAATACCCAACACAATAAAGGACTGGCAGAGTGATTCAAGTGGTAGAGCACCTACCTAGCAAGTGTGAGGCACTGAGTTCAATCCATGAAGAAAAAAGAAGAGAGAGAGCTAGGTAGGACATGAGGCCCTGGAGTTTGATCCCTAGTACCACTCAGAGAGAGAGAGAGAGAGAGAGAGAGAGAGAGAGAGAGAGAGAGAGAAGGGAGGGGAGGGGAGAGGAGAGGAGAGAAGAGAGAGCACAGAGCAGTGGAAAGAGAAAAGAAAGGCATGGATTAAGAAATATTCAGTCAGTTCAGATCCAATAATGCCAAAAACAACAGCAGAAACAACAAAACAAAAAGATATATTCAGTTGTTGGTTAGCCAGCAAGTGTTGGGGCTAGAGGAAGAGAAAGAGAGGGAGATAGAGTATCAATCATGGTTCTAAGACCTCTTTCTTGGATGAAGTGAGAATCTTTTTGTACTGGGATTTGAACTTAGAGCTTTGTGCTTGCTAGGCAAGAGCTGTACCACTTGCTTGAGCTCCCAGCCCTTGATGCGAAAGAGTAAGTTCCCTTTTGGTCATGTTGCTTCTGAGGGGCCTGTGGACATTCTGAGAGAAGCATTTATGAGACAATAACTAAACTAGTGTGAAGTCAGGAGAAGGTTAAGACTTGGCATACACATTCACATGTTCTTGGCATACCAGTGAAAAATTAAATCATTGGAGTGGATGACCTTTCCCTGAGACCACGGAGAGAAAGTAAGAAGATCCTGTTAGC